TTTTGACAACCACCCATATCCCTAGATAACCCCTAGAGCCCCAGGCAGTTCTACTCCAACGCGCATCAGGATCCTCATGCCCACCCAGGCGCCTGCTGTGTTGATGTGCGGTGCTGGTAGGGTTATATTGGGGTGGGGTAGTATTAGGGTTATATTGGGGTAATATTGGGTTAATGGAAAAGAAAATGGAAGCTACTATTTAGGGTTTAGGGGCTGAACATCCTTCTGCTGGAATACTTTTGCGCTACTCCTTGCACCAATGAAACGCACGCAGATGCTTCAAGAAAACGGCAAGTGCCCAGCAAATTGGCTCGCTCGTGCCACCAGCTCAACACTGCTCACGCGGGCGATAGAGATCAAGACGGCGCAGCGACCATAAGCCTGGTAACGAGGTAGGGGGACTCCCATGGTGCGGAAGGCATCCTAGCTTGGCCAATGAAAACATGTCAGTTCCATGCCAGAGTTTTCAACAGCGCGCAGGGGAAGGACTTGCCCAAGAACGGCTTAGTCAGCAATCCCAATCCTAGGGCCTCAAGATCGTGGTGCCCACACAAACCAAGCCTCGGAGACAGCCTGTGGGTGCTAATCTTTTGTCACTTTCGTCCAAACCTTCGTTGCCCAGCTACTCAAAAAGACATGCAAGCTGTCGCCACCGTGTTGTGTGGCAGAGGCTGGGCACCTATGTTTGCAGCGCCAGCCCCAGATTCAGAAGCAAGATTTGGCTGACTTTGTCAGAGTCTTTTGTCATCATCTGCGCGGCTTCGGAGGTTGCGATCTGTTGTCCTTCAGGGGCCAAAAAGGTGGCTTGGCAGGGATGGGAGGTCTTTTCCATGCTTTGCTACTTGTTGGTGAGCTTGCTGTGCAGGCTGGAAAGGAGGAGTGGATGCGGCTTCGGCATCAGCTGCTGCCAGCGCTGAAGCACATGCTGTTGATCTGCCTCAGGGGAGCCCGAGCATTGCTGCCCCGGCAGCTGCTACCAACGCCCGCCTCCTCCGACTATGCCGCAACCAGCGGTGTCTCGATCAACTCCGCGGCGAAGCCCGCGCAGCTGGAAGACGCGGAGTCCAGTGAGGAGGAAGATAATGCTGAAGTCATACAGCTTGCAAAGAGAAGGGTTGAGGAGTCCAGGGGCGAGACCTGTGATTTTGACGATCTGGATCTGCTGGATGAACTGGAGGAGGCTGCTTCCGTGATTCGGAAGGAAAGGCGCGAGAACCGACGAAGGGTCCGTGCCGCGCGGGAGTCCTGGAAGCGAGAGGCGCAGCGTGAGGCAAATCTGGTCGGAGCTGAGAAAGCTGAGGTTTTAGAGACAGTGCCTCCTGAACTCTGGAAACAGCTTGCTACAGATGCTGTGAAGTCGGGTGATTTCCATCTGGCACAGTGGTATTATTCCAAGGAGGCGCACTGCTACGGCCTGCTTGCTCCAGAGCTTGTCGAGGAATTGCCAGAAACTCCAACCGAAGAGAATCACGTGCAGGAACGAGCCGTTGTCCTGTCCAACCGGTCTTTTTGCCTCATCCGCGTGCGGCAGCCAGACGCTGCCTTGCGTGATGCCCGTCATGCTGTGGCACTGCGCCCTGACTGGGGCCGTGCCTGGAGCCGCGTGGGTGCAGCCGCCGGCGCGCCCTCCGAGGCCTGTGAGGCCTGGCGCAAGGCCGTCCAGCTCGACTGCAACGAGGAGCATGTGAAGGGGTTGGAGGATGCTTGCCGGCGAAGCCCGAGCTCAGCCCGGACTTGCAAAGAACAGGGAAACCTGGCGCTGCGAGGCAAGGATTGGTGCTTGGCTATTTGCTGTTACACTGAGGCTTTGGCTGCTATACCGCCACAGAGACTGTCAGGTGATGTAGCGATACCGGATGACTACAGCTTGCTTCGGTCCATCCTTTTCTCCAACCGGTCTGCCGCATTCGCGCATGCTGGCCGCTGGCAGGCAGCTGTCCGCGACGCAAAGTGTGCGGTGGCGGAAGGGCAGTCGTATCCAAAAGCCCACTGCCGCCTAGGCGCTGCTTTACTTGCGTGTGGCGAGCACGAGAAAGCATATGTGGCATTTGCGACAGCTCTCAGGGCAGAGGAGCGAAATATGGCTGCCAGCAAGGGGCGGCAAGCCTGCTTACAGCTCGCCCCACGCTGGTCCTCTTCAGCTGCAGCTTTCCGCCGACGACGGTTTCTGCGTGATGCAGGTGGCAGGGGTAGGTTTGACAACAATTCTCAACTTCTATCACCCTTGATCCCTGTATGAGCCAGAGTCTAGACTCCAAGTATACCCCATAGTATCCCCTGTAGTAGCCCCTTTTAAGGAGTTTAGACTCTAGCTCATGTCCTCCCTAAACCCTAAGCCCTAAACTCTAAACCCTGAACCCTAAACCCTCAGCCCTAAACCCTAAGCCCTAAGCCTTCAACCCTAAGCCCTAAAAACCCTAAGCCCTAAACCTAAGCCCTAAGCCTTATAAAGTCAAACCTACCCTAGGTAGGCCGAAGAGCCGAACCAAAATCTTCCTCATGTCGGAGCTACGTTTCGGCCAGGGATCCAACGAGGCTTGGGTGCATGGCATCCATGCCACCAAGCTCCCTGGATCTGGTTAAGGTTTAGGGTTTAGGGTTTAGGGTTTGGTGCATGGCATTCATGCCACCAAGTTCCTGGATCCTCCTTCGGAAAGCTTCTGCATCTCCCTTTTTTCTGGGTTGCTGTTCAGGAACTTAAAGCAAGTTACTAGTACCATAATGGGTCCATATATAGTAAGTAATGGGGTTTGCCCTAACTTAAATTAATTACCTAACAGCAACCTTTTTTTTTTTTGCGAAGTCTAGGCCACAGCAGTTGTTTGGTACACAAGTGCTCAGGGAGATTCCGAGCCAGGAGATATAAAAGATCCTCTGAGGGAGCTCTTAAGAGACCTCTGCGTTCCCATGAATTCTCTTGGATTCCTTCTTGGGAGGTCTGTCCCATTTGAAGTCGCCAGCAATCTACCCCAAACCCTACATCCTGGACCCTAAACCCTAAATCCCGAATACTAAACCCTCAACCCTCAATCCTAAACCCTAAACCTTCATTCCCAAGCCCTTGGTCTATGAGTTAGATTCATGGATCATCACATCCTGAAAATAGCCCTTTGTAACGCCAAACAAATTATGGTAGTGTCCATTCTCCTTTCCATCATCCTTATATAACCCCCTAAAACCAAACCCTAAACCCTAAACCACATAAAAATCAGTCAGGTTCCTGGATCACATCCTGATCCTGGTGGGGAATGTCGCAGACTCCTTCAGGGCACTGGAGCGGGGTCTGACGCAGCCTTACCCAGGGGGCTTTGAGAGGTTTTAGCGTTTAGGGTTTTTAGTATTTAGAGTATTTACAGTTTTTTGGGTTTTTAAAGCTTGGGTTTTTTGGGATTTGGAGTTTTTAGGGTTTAGAGTTTTTTAGGGTTTAGCGTTCAGGGGTAATGATTGCTACTAGTCATGATTTATGATTAGCATTTTTAGTTTGCTTATTACTACTCTTATCCTTTCTATTGTTTCTGCTAGCACTATTGCTGTTACTGTTAGAATTACTGGTACTATTACTATTAAATGGCTTTTGCTATTATTAGTGTTGTTGTTATTATTATTGCCCTTATTAGCATAATTACTACTGCCTTTAATATGAATACTGCTAGTATTATTATTCTTGTTCATACCAACGCAGTTGTTTGGGAAGAAGCACGACGCGTCACGACCAGAACAACTGCATGTTCTTTCCTTTTTGACTTTGTGCTGTACTTCTTGCTGCAGACAAACCCCTAAACCCTAAACCTGAATACCCTTGTGAGACTTTGTCCATCCTGCATTGATGGTAGTTGCATGCCCCCAGCTTCATGTTGGCAATGCTGAAGCATTGTCCTACATATGGGACGCAGAATATTGAATCAAAGCTTTGCAGGACAAGGCAGATTTCTGTGCACAAGCATCCTGCGTTTCTTGCCCTGCTTTTACAACGTTGATGTCTTACAGCCCCTTACCCCCTGAAAGCCTCCAGAAACAAAATTGTTCCAACGGCGGAAATCTTGCATGGCTTCATACACAACAGGTATCAATGTTACAAAGGGGTGCGGGGATACATCGTCGCGCCATAGAGGATGCCGATTAAGTAGGTGGTGCAAGATTTCCTCCATCCACCGTATTTTAGTTGGCTCAATATAGATGAGGCTGTTGATGATTGAATGGTGCTTTTCACAAGCAGGAGCAAGTTCCGTTGGAAACGCTGATGCCGCAACACAACTGGACTGGTCTAAACCCTGAACGGCACACAAGACAGGCGCAAGACCGTTACAAATCCGCGGAAGTCTGGATCCAGCAAACCACATCCTCATTATGACAGGGTTGTGTGGGGTTATGTAGGAATAATGGAAAAGAAAATGGAAACTACTGTTCAAGGTTCAGTGATTGAACTCTTCTGACACTAGAACCTCCAGGCTTCTACTTTGCTGCCCCAGAGAAAATGACCTAAACCCTAAATCCTAAGATCAGCCTTCGCCTCTTAGCCCTGAGGGTCTATGGCTGCCAGGTGATTGCCGCGGGGTATAGTCCCCCTCAAGTAGATAGAATATTGGGGTCCTATCGGGATAATTTAAAAGAAAATGGAAACTACAATGGAAAAGAAAATGGAAACACTACTTAGGCTTCAGGGTGTAGTCCCCCTTAAGTTAGAAGATAGGGTATACGGGGATTTATTATAATATACCCAAAGCCATATTCTATCTACTTAAGGGGGACTAAGTTGCTAGTAGTTTGATTCTCTTTCGATTCCCAGGGGGCTGTTTACAATTATTCTAGTTGTGATTGCTTTGCTTGTCATTTTTGGTATTGACGTTACCACTTACAATCTTGGGTTTTCCTAGACCTTGAATAATAGTGTCCATTTTCTGTTGACTTATTTCTATATACCCGTCATATGACGCCTTTGTAGCCCCGTATTGTAACCTCTACTCTTGCATGGTTCTAGCTGTAGTCCTTAAACCCTAATCCATTAGCCCGAAATCCTAAACCCGATGCAACCCTTTCAACTGAAGCCCTAATTTGCGTGCAACTGCCATCGCCAAGGATTGCCCTGCGCTCGAAGTTTCGCCGAGTTTTCTTCGTTCCGGGAAACAACGAGATGTGGATCACGCCCGCGGAAATGGAGAAGTGCCACGCCTAACTTGCAAGGTTTATAGTTAGAATAGCTTATGGGAATCATAGCAATGGTAATAGTAATAATTATAGTAAGAGTAATAGTAAGAATAATAGTGATAATAACAGTAATCATCGTATGAATAGTAATAATAGTAATAGAAGCAGTACTAATAGTACTAATATTTCAGGGTTTAGGGTTGAGGGTTTAGAGTTTTCAACATATTCTGACAGTGAATGCTGGCTATAGTGGTGGTAGTAGCAGCCGCAGTAGCAGTAACAGTAGCAGTTGTAGTAGGAGGACTACCACTAGGACTTTACTACGACTGGGGTTCCTCTGTTTCATATAAGGAGAGCTGAACGCTAGGTTTTTATTGAGGGCTTCAAGAGCAACCACTGCTGTTGCCAAGGTTTCCAGACTCCGTCTGCAAGTTCTGGGCCATTCTTGAGGCTCGCACTCAGGTTTAGCTTTAGGGCTTTTTGTGCTTGATACCTTCTAGTTTGTGTAGTATCACTTTCTTGCTGGCTGTAAGTAACTAACACAGGAATGGAAGACGTTGGAAACTACTACCTTATTGAGATTCTTACAGCCACCATAGGTCCATTCCTCCATTCCTTACAAATGACCAGTAAGTTCTAGCGTCTTGCGGAGTTTTCCAAAACTTGTGGTGCTGGGCTACTTTTTTGGGGGTCCCATAAACAGGGGTCAGAGCATTTTGAGGTTGTGCATGTTGAGGAAATCTTCTATCATCCCTAGGAAGTACAGTTGCATAAGGACCTCAGTTGGCAAAAGATGTCCTTTATCAACAGTATCTTCCATTTTCTGTCGTCAGCCCAAAGCCAAAACTCGGTTTCCTTTGTGGAGCTTACCTTGAGTTAGTATCGTAAGGAACTCCCATAATTTACTGTGCATCCTTTTTTCTGATAACCTTGGCCCCAAACGCTAAACGCTACTTGGCGGGGCAGGGGAACTAGTAACCAGGCTATCGACCCTCTTAACCCATATTATCATTCAGTCATCATAGTTATCCTCACAGAGACCCAGTAAGTCTCCCTGACCCTAAGCCTGTAAATAGTGTAGTAGTTTCCACTGTCTCTTCAATTCTCAGATATCCCCACACATCCGTATATATCCCTATACACTCCTTTGAAAGGGACCCTAGGTCCGCCTGACCCTTAAACCCTAAACCCTATCACCCTCACAAATACAGCCTCACCCTGAACCCTAACCCTAAACCCAGTAAAGCGCGCACTGTGTATCGCCAGCTCTGCGATCGACTCGGGGTGGACGTCGCGCCTGCAGCGGTCTGTGAAGGCTGGCCGAAGGGTTCAGGGTTTTAGGGAATTAGGGTTTAAGGTTTTAGGGGTTTAGGTTTTTATTTCATGTTAACATTATAGTCTTTCAAGGGCATTTTCTGCAGCCGGGAACGCTTTGAGGTTCCCACTGTAGTGTGCAGAAAGTTGAGTGTTCCCGTTATTAAAGCAGTGCCATGATCTAATCACATCCCAAATCCTAAATCCTAAACCCACAATCGTGAGCTTCCCTTGGAAGCAGGCGTTTACGTCGTCCCGCTGTTCTCATGGTACAACGCTGAGTTCGACGTCGCCGATCCGTTGCTTGTCTTAGACTTACTGATGCTTAAGGGAGAGAGTAGCAGCCGTGGATCACCATTGCAATCCCAACGAAACCTTATAGTCCCTTATATAGGGTTTAGGGTTCAGGGTCCCTGTTAAGTAGATAGAATATGGCTTTGGGTATATTATAAAGAGATCCCCGTCTACCCCATATTCTATCTACTTCAGGGGGACGATATATATATATATACATACACATATCCGTCCTTGTATTAACTTTTTCTGGGATCGTGAATGCCAGGAACAATAATTGAGGAGGTATAACATTAGGCAGGTGTTTTTTTGGGAGTCCTGTGAGACGGATAATATTGTTGGGGGTTTATAAACGAGATCCTTGTCTGTGAAAACTCCCAACTTTAAAAGGTGTTGTGCGAATGAAATTGTTGTTGTTAAAGTTCTTGTGATAGGGTTTAGTGTGCGCCGAAAGAAGAGCAACAACCACGATACAGGTTGAATGCTTGAAAGCCACATGATTCGAATTTTTTGACGGAGAGGCTATAGTCCCAGTATCGAGTAAAGTTATATCATCATCTTGGGTATACTGTCTTGAAAGAACAAGATGGTCTAACATGTCTAACATGATTCAATCCACAAACATACCCGCAAACCGATTGTTCCTACACCCCAGGCCCTAAACCCTAAACCCGAAACCCTAAACCCTAAACCCGAAACCCTAAACCCCTTTTAATCCAATGTTGGCCTGAAGGTTTCCAGATCCCCAGCTCCAGCACGACAAGTGCCTCCTCTAGCTAAGCGGCTTATGGGGGACTGTCAAAATTATGGTCCCTTTTTGGGTCCCTATTATAATACGGGGCCTAATACGGGGCCTAATCTATAGGGGATCCAAAAAGGGACGATAATTTTGATAATCTCCCTT